GAGTGGGCTAATTTTGACACAGAGGCGGCTGAATCCCATCCACGGGCGCTGACTTTTATTTTTCCCGGTGGGTGCTCTGCCCCAAGGCCCTGCCCCAACTCCGCCCCTTGCCCTGAGGCCCTGCCCTTGCTCCGCCTCCTCCCACCCCTACACTTGCAGTGGCATTTAGGGTACATGTAGCTGTCTGGTGCAATGCAAAGCAAGCTGACACATGCGGCGGTGAAAGGCTCTGACGGGGGGAGGCAGCGGGGAAGGGCTCAGGCAGAGGGGAGGCAGCAGGACATTACCCGATTAAAAACATCAGAGTAGACATAGGGGGAACTGCTTGGGTGAGTAGAGAGCCATGGGATACATACCCTAAGATTCTGCCATGTCTCCACTCTATTCGCCTAAGCAGTGTCCCACTGTCTGCGCGGCTATTTAGATCCCTGCTAGCTGGGTGTGCAGTGTCCATACGGTACACGCCGCCACAAGTGTCGACCTACCCTAAAATGTGTGTTGATTCTTCACTTTTCAGGTGTGTGCATTGCTGGTGATACAGGTGTTACCATAAATTAAATGTAAAGCTTTGGGTGTTCAAAGAATTGAACGACCAAACGTGACTGAATTTCATTTCTCTTTCTGTTTGGTTGTAGTTTCAGCTTTGTTTTATCCTTTTGAGAGGGACTTGAGGTTTCGAGACGAACCTCGCTGGTTCATATTATGTGGATTTTTCCTCTATTTGTAATTGCTGACATGGGTTAGTTTTTATATATATATTTATTTTATTGTGCTTTAAGAATTAACTCCTCTTCCTTCAAGCTTTATAGACTTTAGAGGTCCTTGACTCATAATTTTCTCCTATTTCTTTCGGTCGAGGGCATATTTTTGTCATTTATGATAATCACATTACATAAGAACATAAGAATGGCCGTACTGGGTCAGACCAAAGGTCCTTCTAGCCCAGTATCTTGTCTACCGACAGTGGCCAATGCCAGGTGCCCCAGAGGGAATGAACCTAACAGGTAATGATCAAGTGATCTCTCTCCTGCCATCCATCTCCACCCCCTGACAAACAGGCTAGGGACACCATTCCTTACCCATCCTGGCTAATAGCCATTAATGGACTTAACCTCCATTAATTTATCCAGTTCTCTTTTAAACGCTATTATAGTCCTAGCCTTCACAATCTCCTCAGGTAAGGAGTTCCACAGGTTGACTGTGCAGTATGAAGAAATTTCCACTACATGCATCCGAAGAAGTGGGTATTCACCCACAAAAGCTCATGTTCCTATATGTCTGTTAGTCTATAAGGTGCCACAGGACTCTTTGCTGCTTTTACAGATCCAGACTAACATGGCTACCCCCTGAGAAAGAGGTCTTTAAGAGGTCATTAAGAGGTCTTAGGTCTTCCTTAATATTATCCTTCCATGTTCTCCTTAATTAGCCACAAGGTTGGGCACTATATAATTTTTCTTACAGGAGATTCTTAGCTGTTCTGTCTTCCATCATCCTAACTTCAGGCCTTGCCCATTTTATTCTTTTTATATTCCCCCCGTAGATGGAAAAGTGTTGCCCTTCCTGCAGAAAAAAAAAGAGAGGATTTAAAGGCTGTATTTGAAAAAGTCAGAATCCCATATTTTTATAAGCATGAACAATTTATTCAACGTATTGCATATAGAGACATAATGCAAAGCTTATGCCAGTGAGAGAAAAGCCATCAGATTATGCTGCCATATAATCAAGTAATCGTTTTTTCCAGAGCCAGTTTGTCGCCACAAAATGCGTGACTGACAGATGAAAAGGAACATTCCTTCTTTGCTCCAAAAGGACTAAAAAACTGAGGGGAACCCATTGGCTAAAATGAGGCCTGTTATTTACGGATTTTATTATTATTATTATTATTATTATTATTTTGGTGAGAGTAGAGTTTCTGGTTCCTTTTGTTAAACTTCACAAACAATGAGGCACCCGTAATTCACATTTAGGGCAATTGCTTTCCAGTTAGAAGGCTAATTAGCAACATTACGGGTGGCAAGTTTCACTGGGTTCCTTACAATTGCTACCGTTAGGGCCCAATCCAAAACTTAGTGCAAAGACAACTCCCCTTCACTTCAGCGGATCAAAGCCTTCTGGTGCACTTCTTTCACGGAGTGAAACAAAGACCGACATCTTTTAACTTAGCTGCCAAAAGTTAAGCACCTATGTCGGCATTGCTATGAAAACCCTGTCGCTCCAAGTCTCAGAGGCTGGGTCAGCTGACTTGGATTCATGGGGCTTGGGGTGCGGGGCTGTAACATTACAGGGTAGGCGTTCGGGCTCAGGCTGAAGCTTTGGCTTCGAGAACATGCCGCCCTCTCGCGGGGTCGCAGGCTCAAACGTCTATACCGCAGTTTTATTGCCGGGCAGCCTGAGCCCTGCAAGCCCGAGTCAGCTGATCTGGGCCAGCCACGGCCACGCTGTAGACTTTTATCACAGTGTCGATGTAGTGTAAGGGGCTGAGCTTACCCCATGTGGTTCATGTGCCCACTGTGAGGGGACATGCCACCAGCAAGCCTAGGGAGGATCCCTGTGGTCAGGCAGTGCCAATCAGGTGCACCTGCAGAGCATGTTCTACCGGGAGAAGGGGAGCTTATAAAGATGAAGCTGACCACAGAACTCAGGGCTGGGGTGGGGTGGGAGGATGTTTGCCCAAAAGTAAAGACTTCTAGAGACTGCAGAGAGCCCAGTAGCCCAGGGACCCCAGCCCGAGGCAGTGACTAGCCTCCCCTGCCCCATCTTGTTTATGGCAACCAGACACTGCAGCCCTGAGAAGGGGTGTGGCCGTCTGCTTGCCTTCAGTGCCCTGTAGCTAAGCCTGAGGAACAGTCAGGGACCGGAGGTAATTAAACCAAGAAAGACCCCTGGAGTGAGCTCAGGTCCCACAGGGAACAGTGAGCTTGCCCCCAGGGGACCCAGGGGCGGGAGACATAAAGAGAAGAAGGCCAATCCCGGTTTGAGCCATGGCTGACTACAGGGAGACCCCTGCCTTCAAACAGAGCTCCACCAGTTTAACGGGGACTCTGTGGTGCCTCAGGGATCTGCCCCCTTATTGCAGGATCAGCTCGAAATCCATACTTGGTTGCCTAAATGTGTGGCCTGGGGCATTCCCCCTACCCCGACAATAATTCCTAAGCCCCAGCCTCTCTTGAACCATGACTGACCCTTCCTCGTTACTCACCTCATTCCCCATTTTAAGTGAAGATTAATGTTACAGACACAACACTCACCAGTCTCACTGATTTAATGTGAATTTTCCTGGGATGATGATAGTTCCTAGCCCTTATCATGTGCTTTTCATCCCTATGCCTCAAAGTGCTTTACAAAGGAGGTCAGTATCATTATCCCCATTTTACAGGTGGGGAAACTGAGGCACGGGGCAGGGACGTGACTTACCCAAGGTCACCCCACAGGCCAGTGGCAGAGCTGGGAATAGAGCTCAGATCTTTTGAGTTTCAGAGCCCTACACACCGGACAACACTGCCTAAGGAAAGAGTGAAAACTGCATTAAAAAATAAGGAAGAACCTTGAGATTTGGCATAATGAATCATTTAAAAAAATAATACTCTGCACTCATGTAGCCCATTCTATATGGAGATCTCACACCACTTCATAAATATTGATCTAGTTCCATCATAGTCTATGGGAATTTTTCCTTTGGCTTCAGTGCGATTTGGAATAAACCCTTTAAAGTGCGGGGTTTTAAAAAATCTTTTCCTCTGCCTCCTTGCAGCTCTGCTCCTTCCCAGATCACACCAGCTGCTGGATTGCACGTGCTCAACGAAAGTCCATCGAAATCCCTGTGCAATTTGTGCAATGAATTAAAACGGTACTCATTTGATAAAGGGGAAGTGGCTCCCTGAATGTTATTGTATAAGCTGCTGAGGGAGGGATGGACAGGAAAGGGCTATCAGGAGGAAGCATACTTGTTACATCAGGAAGTGCAGGGTGTTCCTTTAAGCAGGAGTTCACAGCACTGATACTCTTGTTTCTGGAGAACCACATGTTAACCATCTGTCTGCTGCCAACTAGCTCAGGTGCTATAGAAGATCTCTGAATAGAATCATAGAATCATAGAAGATTAGGGTTGGAAATGACCTCAGGAGGTCATCTAGTCCAATCCCAAAGCACGACCAACACCAATTAAATAGAAGCATCCCTACCAGTTAGAGGCATGTGCATACAGACCACATACCTCTTGAGAATAATAAACTGATTGCAGAACTTCACTGAGCACAGTAGACAATTCTATAAGGAAGAATCATGCAGGACAATGCAGAATGGTCCACTGATATCCAATTAACTATTGTTCAGTCGTTTTCTATGCATCAGTGGTAGGGGTGCCATCAATGTTATACCATATATCTTGATACATCAATGAATGTGTGCTTTATATTGTAGACTTTCCCCTTTAAAGTAGTTGTTTTTAAAGACATCTTTGCATTAATGTAAGATAATTCTGTGTGCGTGATGGTGATGTATTTGATAGAAAAAATAATATGCTACTTTGGAAGTTAGCAAGAGAGGCTGGTTTTCTTTCCTCACAGTGAAAAAAATGTAGTCAAGTAATTAGTTCCTAGCATCCCTTATCTATCCAGTATTACCTGGCAATTATAACAGAAAGAGGAAAATAATGAAGAAAGGAATAAACGGGTTTTAAAAAACCATAATAATGAATTCAGTTTGAAGGCCAGAATTCAACCTTGATTAAAAAATAAATTCTAAAGTGCGTCTGACTCATTGCAGCAACACTCAAAGACTTTTAACACCCAACATTTCTGCACCCACTTAAATACCAACCAATATTGTGTGTAAGCCGTCTGAGACCATGACACACATCAGAAGTCAATGTCCCTGCTAATAAACAGACGGTGGGAGGCTCTTTCTCTCTGTATAGTTCTTTGTGGTTTGTATTTTGGGGTTTGCCCTGAAGAAGACGTCTTGTAAGTGGGACTGAGGCAAACATGACTCAAGAAGTGAGCTGTTAATGTAAATTAGTGATAAAAAGGCATAGCACATTGACTTTAAAGGACCTCATGGATGGGGGGCAAATTTATAAACAACAAAAGGTTTAGAGTTTAAAGCAGAAACTCTGGGCTCAAGTCGTTGCTCCTTCTATCTTCAATTCATCCTGAATCAATGTGCCATATAACATATGCACGACAGCGTCTATGCTCACGAGGGAGAGTTCACGGATCATTGACTCAATATCAGGTCAATCCTGACTCACTGAATACTCTATAGACCCATGTAGTAAAATTGTCATATTTTTCTGAAGGGAAAAAAGTGATGCATGTCCACAGTGGTTGTGTTTTAACTTCCAAGTCTAGGCCTTTTATTGTCAAAATACCTATCAAATGAGACAGGACCACTGGTGTTTTGAGATATGAGCCTCTTTAAGCTTATCACCTTCTATTTTTCTTTGACACTTGATTTTTAGAAGTGAATTTAGTGTTGGCGAGAAAGGCCAGCCACTTTGACCTCTGAGAAGGAGGCAGGGATCCTACCAGACAACCAACAATGGAGAGGGGAGAGCCCACAAAAACCAAAGGTCAGCTGTACAGTGATAATGATGGGAGTGGGCACAATAAAAAGGCACTAGAAAGGGACGCTGAGCAGAGAATGCTGGCCAGTGCTCAAAGAAGCAGGAGAAGCTAGCCTATTGTAAATCTGTGACTTGGGCAAAGACCCCACAGGGGGTTCCACCCATAACAACAATGGTTTCTCCCAGTGCCGAGGGGAGGAGCTACAAAAATACAATGTTCAACTCAACGTCATGAGACAAATAAAAGGAAAGTTGGGATGGGAGTGAAGCCACAGGTCAAAACACGGAATCCGGAAGGGGACCCTGATCGGAGAACCATGGACAACACTGTCTGCTCTGAAAAGCGAGCGATTCCAGCCAACCTGGTGATGGGCATTGGTGGGTGGAGCTACAGAATGAGGGAGGGGCCAGAATTTAGCTGAGTGGAAAGGACAAAAAGTGAACAAACCGGCCATAGGCCAAAGGGTCAAAACAAGGGATTCAGAGGAGGATGCCAAGTTGAGAATCCCAGACAGGAGCTGCTGCTCTGAGAAGTGAACACTCCTGGCCTATGTGATTCCTGAGAATGGTGGTTGGAGCTCACCAGAACAACAGGGGATGGGCCACAGAGCTCCAGAGTCAAATGATTGCTTGGGAGAACAACAGAAGAACACAAGAATGGGAGTGAGGGTTAATGGTATAAAATAAGGGAACCAGACGAAGACACCAAGCAGAGAATCATGGGTAAGCCCACTGCTCTGAGAAGAGAGATGCTGCAGATTGAAGCCCACCACTGAACCAGAAAAAGAAAAAGGCATTAAAGCAGGGTGAATCAGCGGCGCAATCTTCTCTCACGTCACTCCTGTTGATGTGGCTTATCCGAAGGCACTGCTTCTAGAGAGGAGAGTGACGTTCAGTCGCTCTGGCCCGCTCATCCCTTGGCCTCGAGGCTGAAACCGCCAACAAAGTGCCAGTTGAGAGAATGTTTCGGACCTGGAGCCACCAGTCCACTAGCGACTGGGCTGAGAAACCTGTTGCCTGTAGAGCAGCAAACGTGTCGGGCGCTAACACCTTTTGGTCCCTGCCTGCTCCGTCTGCATTCTCACTGCCAAGCCCCTGAACCGGCCGGTTCCGCCTGCCCCTCAAACTGGAAATAAGAAAAAAATATTTTTGACCTTTCTTTTGTTGGTAAAGATTGAACCTGAAACTCCAAGCCTGACTAAATGTTAACAGCTGAGGTATAACTGCCTGAATACCGCTGCTTTAAAATGAATATACTGATGAAACCCTGATGTTAGAATCATAGCACAGAACTAGAGCTGGTTAATGACGTGTTCACGACTTTTTTCCCCACCGGAGACTATTGATTTTTTTAAACGGAAATATCGATTTTGACAAAACTTTCTTTGGGAAGGTTTCTCAGGTCCAGGATGGAATTTCTGGGGTGGGAGAAGAGAGAGACCCACCCCGGAATAACCAGGGGGGTGGGAAACACAGACCCCTGCTCCGAATGAAGTACCACAGCATTTGAACCTGTCTCTCACATTTCTGCTGAGTGCCATAACTGCCAGACTTAGCTATTCTGAGGTGTCTTGCTCACACTTGTTTTTTTCTCCAACAAAATTCAAAAGTTTTCGTTGTGCTGAGGAACATAAACAAATTTGGAAACCTTGAAATTTTTTGCAAACCAGAATTCTCATTTCCTAGTCATTCCTGTGAAGAGACCACTTGGCACACATCCCTCTGCCAGGGATGGATTGTTCCCAACAGTAAATTCTCCGGTGCTCTGCCCAGTCTGATTCAAACCATAGAGCTTTCGTCCTCTTTCTGGTCACTTGCTTTCCTGTTTGCTCAACAGTTGCATTTGATTCTGCATTCGTTCGTTTGTTAAGAGGGAGAAAGCACAAAGTGGATGGCAGTTTGTTGTAACTGTCCCTTGTGGGTCGGTGGGTGGGATAAGACCCAAGGAGTGTTCCTCTCTCTTAGCATTACTCTGGTGAGCAAGTACTACTCAGCATGAGCAAGCGTAACAGAATCAGGGCCTTGGTGGAATTTACATTCCTTCCTGTAAAACAAATGCTTGGCTTTGGGTGGGTGTGTGATAAGCATGGAATGTTCTCCCTGGGCTGTGAGTCCACAGTGCCTGTCCTGCCATCTTATTGAACTGAAATTTCCTCTTCACGTCCTGGGCAGTGAAGTCATCTCCCAAACACCAGGATGTGTGTCTTGGACGCCACCTGCCCGAAACTCTCCCCAGTAGGACAACCCCTTCACACTAGGGAACCTCGTTTAACTTGCTTCTGTTCCTGCCCTCTCTTTCCCTGAAAGGCATTGGTACCACAATACAGCCACTAATGGTCTACACTGCAATTAAACACCCGCGCTCAGCCCTTGTCAGCTGGCTCAAGCTGCGGGGATATAAAATTGTGGTGTAGATGTTTAGTCTGGGGCTGGAGCTCGAGCTCTGGGACCCTGTGAGGGTCAAGCTCACTCCAGTCTCTGTCTGTTCTTCCCTATTTCCTGCCCTCCCCCCAAACAAAAGTGTCTTTATTTGAAGACCCTAAAAAGGAGCAAAGGGTGGAACAGCCTATCCCTTCAGCAGGCCTAATATCCGACACACTAATTTACATTAATTTCCAGTTCCACATCTTCTGTTTTTAGCAAGCACTATTTCAACACAGCCCTTGAGTTCTATCAAGAGGCCTTTTAACGTTGATTAATTCAGTCTGTTTCCCTTTCATACCTTTCCCCGTCAACACTTATTATAGGTTATTGTGACATCTTATGAACTTCTATCTACTTGGTACAGTTGCGCTCACAAGTAGGGTGAATTTGTCAGCCCAATTATCACAAAAAGGGGAAGGAAATATATTTCAGCGCTCTTTTAATTCCCAAGGACTAATACATCTCAGCCTTTTTTCCAAGGCTCTCTGCTTTGGCTGTGAGGTTTTCTCCTTACAACCCCCACAATATATACCCCAGGGCCTCCAACTGTAACCCCCTTTTCCTGCTTGACATGCAGACCTTCCACATACACAATATTAATTTTATCTCTTCACCTCCAGAGGATTTTGCAGTGCCTTTGTTTTGAAGGTTCTGCTGTCTGAGACATAGCCCAGTCTCACCTTGCAAACCCCTGAATTAACTAATGCAAATGACAGCCCATGGGAGAGACACCTGCTTCTAATTTAAGGCTGCAAAATTACTCTTTACAGAGACTTTCAAAAAAAAAATCTTTTTTTTTCTTCCTAATAGATTCCCCAGCACAATGACTTCCTGCGATATCAGATACCGAACCCATCTCAGCAATTTCAATGTCCACTGAACCCTAGAAACACTGTATTCATTAAATCTATATGTAATTAATTCCTTCCTTTGAAATTGACCAGCTTGAGTTCTGAGGTGGATATTTTTTTGCCTTCAGCCTGAGGGGGAAGTTTCATTGTATTTCATTAAAACCCACGTGTGGGTGAAAACTTATTTACCTTGAAAAATGATATGTTTCTATCTTGATTTCAGTCTAGCTAGATTATTTATTTATTATGTAGTATTATTTTCCACGATGGTGACTATAGATCCCACTCAGGGACCAGAAACCTATTTATTTAAATGATGATCCTGGTATAAGAACCTATATGAAGCAGCCTATTTTGCTAAGTAGATGCTGTACATACACCCATATAATAAAAAGACAAGCCTTTCCCCCAAAAGCTTACACTTTATACATATGAGCAGACAAAAACAGGTTGTTAATTCAGCTAGAGATATCACATGTTATGTATGAAAAGCTATCATGATACCAGCTTGCAGTGTTTTAAGGGTCCTGAAATGTCTCTGAGGATACCTCTACACTACAAATTAAGGTGTGATTGTAGTATGGGTAGGCACAGCTAGCTAGCTTTAATTTAGCTAGCATAAGTAAGAATAGTAGTGAGTTTCCGCATGGGCTAGCTGCCCTAGTACAAGCCAGCCCGGGACTCTCAGTACATACTCAGGTCACTAGCCCATGCTACAGTCCATGCCACTGCATCTTCACTGCTATGGTTACCCACACGAGCTGGATTAAAGCCTATCTCCTCTACAAACCCATCTTAATCTGTGATGTAAACGTATCCGTGGAGTC